ATTGCAATACAGCTTGCAACACTTGTCACACGCGCACACACTCACACACACATACAAATTCATTTGCCCGTCCCAACAACAAAGCGCCGTTCTCCAGGGGTGTTAGCGAGCCAAGAAAACTCCGCTGCATTGTTGTAATTGTTGTTATATAATATTTTGCCCCACAGAAGCTTGTTATCAAAGTGGCGCCAGTTGGTTGGTTACTTTGTCTTCACGATCAACGGCACGTAGAACCCAGCTCTTTAGCCCACTCTAAAAGCGTGCACTCTCGCTTAGTGCTTGTATGTGTGCATGTGTGTGTAATTTTACTTGTGAGGACGTAAATGTCCACCGATGGGGTTACTGTCGATTCCTGTAGCGCCGATGCAGTTCTAAAAATGTGCGAATGTGTGATAATTTGTGTGCTTGTAAACGTATTTGTAGAGTTCAAAGTTGGCAGGAAGAGTTTGACAAATAATTGTCATACCCTCTTCCGCTCTCAGAAGCGCAGCGTGTGTTGGAACAAAGAGGAAATATGCTACCAAACAATTTCCGTTTACAGACTACATTCCACCAATTGTTTGCTGGCAACTTGTTAGTGAGGTTGAGTTTGAAAGTTTTCTAAACTAAAAATCAAATTATGGCAATTTTAGTTTAAAGTCATAAAAACTCCTAAAATTGTAAGCTAATTTGTGTTTTCCAAGCTCAAAACGGTCGTTACACTTAATTTGAGATCATAAAGTGGCAGTGGTTTGTTTTGTTTATTTCATTCTAGAGGATCGTATCCAAAATAGATTGGAGTGTGTTGAAAGAGAAGTGTTTGCCGACTGAGCATAGATCAATTGTTGACATCTGTGAGTCTCACTCACATATTCCAGCGTCAGAAGACATCCATTCACTGGATAATATAATATGATATTTTAGTATCACAAAACCTGATTTAATAAAAAGTCAGGATCATAAAGTTTATTTTAAGAAACAGGAGAACACCCTTCTTTATCCAAGATGAAGAAAAAAAAATACAAAATCTCGTTTGGTAAAAACGAAGTTCACAAGGCTTATCTTAAGCAAGAGGGCAACACTCTTCTTCACTCAAGGTGAAAATAGAAGGTCGAAAAGCCTCTGAAAAGCCTTTCGTTACTAGGGCGATGATTTTCGTTTTCCCAATTTCCCTAACAATTTTCTACGAGCTTCAATAAATATACTTTAAATTTGAAATTCAAAATGATAAAATTGAAAATAATGGAAACTGTATGAAGCTAGGTTATATTAATCTGATTGGCAAGAATACTTCCACACCGACAATAATTACAATAAAATAAAAGGGATGGCTCATGTTTCAAGCCTAGGTCACCATAATTGGCTTATACAATGCTTTTTGAAAGTTCAGAAAAAAAGGTTGGAAGTTCTCTTACTGTTATATCCCTATCTTAAAAAATATAAAAGCATGGAAAGTTTGTTCCAGGTCGGATAATATAGTTAACTGGAGAGACTGTGTTTCAAACATTTCGGCAGTCATACCTTCTGCGAACCAGGAGACATAGTCGAAACTGACATTAGTCGCCTTAACAAATTTGTGATAAGCTCGAAGCTCTTTGTCATCTTATAAGGGTCTTATGATCAATTGTATAGGAGATTTCATTAAAATGTGAATATTATATGTAAGAAAGTTTTATTTGCTTTTCTATTCACTCGTTGACTTTCATAAACAGTCATTCCCAGTGCACTGAGCCGTAAGTGCTAACTTTATTCTTGAATACATTTTATATTGGGTTCTTTAAATTCTTTTTCCTTTTTATCGTTGCTTCGCTTTTGCATCCGTGTCCTTTAAAGTATCCTTTCCTTGTCTCTAAACCTTGTTTAATGATGCTTATTTAACACCCTTAGGAAAAATGTGATTTTTGTTTTTTAGAAAGCCTGAAAAGTTGCCTGCGGAGGTTGAACTTTCACAGACTTCCCGTGTTATCATTATCAACATCGCCGACTGCCTGTTTCTGTTTAAAATGTCACAAATTTAAATCTTATGAACATCAACACACACAAACAAAAATATGTGTGTATATAAATATACATTTTACTCGTTTGCAAAGCATTTTCCGAAAAATTTTTCGGTATTTGTTTGTTGGTAGAAATGAATTTCATTTATATGTATATGTGGAGGCACATTGTATTTTTTAAAATTTTAATGCATAATGTGGACACAAGTCAAATGTTAATTAATTTTTTTTGTAAGTAAGGCAGATTAAATGCGAGCGTAGCCAAATTTTCTTACCCAACAAACGTTCTTAAAATTATGAAAAGTTCTGTAAAAAAGAGCAAAATGTAAGCTGAAGTCCAAAAGGAATCGAAAATATGGTTACAATTCAATTTTGCCATCTTCAGCAATATAGCATATAGGTCAGATCCAATGCATCTACCGAGGTTTTCTGATTTTAATATCGAAGAGGTAATGTTTTTAAAATGAGATCCCTTTACCAAACCCAATACTCTGAACAGGATATATAAAGTTTGCCACTAAATTGGTAACACGAGCTGAGACGATCTAGCCATCATCATGTTTATACGCGACCCAGTCCTTCAGTTTTTGAAATATCGATCTGAAATTTTGCACAAGTCATCTTATCATCAAGAAGTTGCTCATTTATCGGATAGCATATAGCTGCCATCCGAACAGAATGAGTGTTTGCGTGGAAAACTTTTTTATTTGACGAGATATCTTCACGGTTTATTGTCTTAGGCAATGGTGCTATCTCCAAAGAAATTGTTCAGATCGGACTACTATAGAATATAGCTGCCGAACAAACTGAACGGTCAAACTCAAGTTCTTGTGTTTTGTGTTTGTGAATGGTATTATAGCTTCGGTGCAATCGAAATTAATGTGCTTCCTAGTTTCTAGTGTATACTACCAGGGTACAATATTTAAATTAAACCTAATGTCCTGGAAATTGTGCCTGAAATTTTGCATGCAATTCATTAACATAAAAATATATATATTTCAAAATGTATAAACGCCGCTACACAAATTAATAGCTGTTTTCGTGCCATTACTTTTTAACGGGGCTTTTTAAGACTAGTTGAGCAAATAAAACATAATTTAACTATTGTAACATTTAAATGAATTGGTTTTTTTTCAATTCCGTACATCTTGATTAAAAATATAATAATAATACCGGTTTGAAATTTTTTTTTTAACTACTTATACCAAATTATATTTATAAATTCAAAAAAAATTTGTTTATGAGTTTAAATTTTTTCGCGCGTGCGTACTTCGTGTTCTACCATTTTGAACTAGAGCCAGCATATTCAATGCTCTAGAGCAGTGGTCAGTAAACTTACATTTTCAAATATTAAATTTTAAATTTTCGCTTTCCAATAGCAAATTAAAATCTTCAATTTTCAATTGAACATCAATTCTTAATCCAAAATCTTTGAATTAAAGTGTCTTGATTGTGAGTAAGTCTTTATGGTATTGTAAGTACAAATAACACAAAAGTTAGTTATCTGTTAGAGAATGAATATATATTCTCAAAACTACTGAGTATTACTCATGCAATCGAGTTCTTCACAGTTTGAGAAGGATATCTCATCTAATAATTGAAATCTTGTTGGAAAGAAACAATCCACCGGTACATTGTATTTCTGTGTACCTAAGTATTAGAAGCAGAAGTTATAAGAGAATATGATCAATAATCATTAAATAGGTTATTTGCTGTATATCCTAACTCTATTTGATTTTACCTGTATTTTTGATTTATACCAGTTGTTTGTTCGACTCGCTATGGCTGGTACCAGATACATAGAGACTACTTAGTCTTTATAACGATAATGTTTTTAGAGCAAAAAAGAAAAATAAAATAATTGAGCAAAGAAATAAAAATGGACATAGGCAGTGAAGAAGTAACTATCACCCCAGTAATAACGTTTATGTGTAGGTTGTGTTGATCTGTTTATTTTGGAGATGACGTAAGTGTTAGCTATATATAATATCGTGCTGAAAATGGCCTTTACCACAATATCGCGTCAGCTAGCGTCGGTGGGCACAGTTTGAAACATTACCTAAGCGTTCTTTCTGGAATTGGACCAGTTATATTTTAGTTTAGTTAAGGCCTTGTACGCAAAATCTCTCTGTATTTTACAAAAACTCAAGAATTATTCAAAAAACAACCAGTGTTTTTGTGAGTCTTATTAAATTTCCCTGCGTAACGTACCAATCATACCTGGCGCTCATACATACATACACACATACAATTTCGTGTTAATTACATCACTCGTTCGCGTGGTCAATTCATACAAGCGTGAAGATTAATTACATTTGCATAGTAAATTTATTAATCAACAACTGTCGAATTGATAAATCCGTGGTATTTATGCTCCTTTTGATACAGAAATATTGAATCTGCCGCCGATTCATTGATTTCACCGCCAAAATTTAAAATGAATTGTCAACTGTTCAATGAGACTTTAATATGAGTATATCTATGTTTATGTGGTCATGAATTTAGCGATTTTAAATACTATTTTTTAAATGGTTTCGAATAGGTTAAGTTCAAAGCCCAGTGCCAATACAGAAAGAGTTGAGTACATGGCCACTACTTAGGAGGATAAATATTAAAATGTCGTTTTTATACCCTAGTGCCTCAGTTTTTAAGATATCCATCTAAAATTTTGCACATGTCCTTTTCTTCCCAAGAAACTGCTTATGTGTGGGAAACGCCGATATCCACTATAGCATATAGCAGCCGTGCAAACTGAACGATCAACATCAAGGGGTTTACTTACTTTTTTATTTATCAGGGGTATTATAGCTTCGGTGCAACCGAGGTTAACGTTTTCCACACTTTTTTTGTTTATCATTTAACAGAAGTGGTTATTTCCTACAAAACCTACGAATCATAAATTTTTAAGGCGGATATACAATATTTTCGGTTCTATTTAAAGTAAATTTCTCATGAAATATATATTATGAAATATATTATTTCGCAATAATATGTTATTTAGTAATATATTTGTTTATATTTCAGAAATGCTAGAGATATGTAAAGCTTACAATCACCAAAATTTAGGTAAGTAATAGTAGACACAATCTTCAAATAAATAAATACAACATATAAATTAATTTTTCCTCAAAACCTAAACTTCTGTAAATGTGCAAATTTTTTATTTATATACAGTATATCCATCGATATTCAATAATGTCATTTCCTTTTAACGATTGACTGGAACCAAATTTTCTTGATGCTGGAAAGCTGTTTTAGTGTAGTGCAGATAGTTTTCAGAAAAAGTACTTCTTTATAAACCATTTAGATTCAGGACCCCCAAACTGATTGGAGATTGTGCCTTGAGTGCGAAATTATTATTCCCTGTTCAGGGTATAAATATAAGCTTTGGCACTTTCACTTAAGTGAGTTCAAGCACGCACCGTTATTTTTGAAGAGTTTCTAGTAGCTCTGTGTTTGACGTACTTTTGCAGAGGCCCCTGTTTATGCCAGACTTATTTATACTGTTTGTGAAACGTTCTGAAAATAGACCGATTTTAGAAATTTTTTTCTAAAGCAACATTGCAACAATTCCGAAAATATCGGTGATAAACTTAAAAAAAAAATACAAGTAAGAAATTGGCTTTCATGTAATCGCTTGTCTTTCTTCACCTTCTCAGTGGATTCGTATATATTATACTATTTTATAGCATTTGCTCGTTTTCCTGGAACGGGATCATTTATTGAGATCGCACAACATTCTTATAAAAACACACATATATTTTGAAGTTATTTCTTTAAAGTTCTAGACTCTCCCGCAGCTTTCGTAGGCTATAAAAATTTCCAAATCTCTAAAAGTGCTAAACAAATGATTCCTTAATTCAATTTGTAGACGTTGCGTGTTAATCGCTTTCACACTTTACCTTTTGATCAGCTGTAATCTCTTGTAAAAGCTTTCCAGGTAATAAATATTTGAAATACGAACACAAAACGAACATTCCGGAAGACTTCGTTTAATTAGTGGAAGTAAATTAATTTTTTTTTTTGGAATATTACCGTAAACTTTTCAACATTACTTTGACACCTCGCTTCGCGCTTCATAAATCTCATATGCACCCTCTCATGAAACAATTTCGATTTCGAAAAACAAACAAAATGAAAATAAATATTTGTTTTGCATTCCTCGATGCTGAATAGACATATATTCATACATAGTATGTGTGAGTATAATAATGCACTTTTTATACTCTCGCAACCTGTTGCTACAGAGTATAATAGTTTTGTTCACCTAACGGTTGTTTGTATCACCTAAAACTAATCGAGGTAGATATAGGGTTATGTATATATAAATGATCAGGATGAAGAGACGAGTTGAAATCCGGGTGACTGTCCGTCCGTCCGTCCGTCCGTGCAAGCTCTAACTTGAGTAAAAATTGAGATATCTTTATGAAACTTGGTAGACATGTTTCTTGGTACCGTAAGATGGTTGGTATTGCAGATGGGCGTAATCGGACCACTGCCACGCCCACAAAACGCCATTAATCAAAAACAAATAACTTGCCATAACTAAGCTCCGCAATAAGATACAAGACTGTTATTTGGTAAACACATTAGGGAGGGGCATCTGCAGTTAAAACTTTTTTTTAAAAAGTGGGCGTGGTCCCGCCTCTAATAGGTTTAATGTGCATATCTCCTAAACCGCTTATGCTATAATAACAAAATTCACTAGAAGCAAATGTTTTTAGCACTTCTATTGACGGTGTGAAAATAGTTGAAATCGGGTTGCAACTCCGCACACTCCCCATATAACGGTACTGTTAAAAACTACTAAAAGCGCGATAAATCAAGCACTAAACACGCCAGAGACACTAAATTTTATCTCTGGGATGGTATGAGATGACTTTATAGGAACCGCGTTCAAAATTAGACAGTGGGCGTGGCACATCCCACTTTTAGGTGAAAACCCATATCTTGAGATCTGCTCAACCGATTTCAACCAAATTCGGTGCATAACGTTCTTCTCATGTTTCTATGTCATAGTGCGAAAATGGGCGAAATCGGACTACAACCACGCTTACTTCCCATGTAACACCATTTTCAATTCCATCTGATTCTTTCACTTTCCACTATGCAAATCAGGTAACAATGATTATATCGGGGTAAAACTTTGCGTGAATAATGCAATTAAAGTATGCCACCTTGCGGCCAAAAATTGTCTAAATCGAACCCAAACTGTTCAAGCCTCTAAGTACTAAATATGTGGGCCCCAGTGCCTATAGTTGACCTTCTACCGAAAATATCAGTCAATCCACAAAGAAATCTCAAACGAGTATACCATTTGACTTTGCGAGAGTATAAAATGTTCGGTTACATCCGAACTTAGCCCTTCCTTACTTGTTTTTATTTATTTATTTAATTTTTTCGGTTTGTTTCCCCTCTGCAATTAGCCGATGTAGAGTCAGTCGCGCCCAGCACAGGCGACGTCACGAGTGCCTTTACTTTGTCTAGCTGCAATTAGTGGCGGGGACTCAGTGCAGCAACGAAATTCACACTCAACACATTGTGTCTGTCAGCGGCGCCCCACAGCCTCGTCGCCGTCCCGCAGTGTTTTTGTATGCGCTCCCCGCTGTCGTTACCATTGTATTGCGAGCAGGAGCCAACGCGTGCCAACGCCAAGTACATGAGTGTATACGTATGTTGCTCTCACAATTTGATTTGCAACATTTTAAGTCTTTATGGAGCACAAGAAATATTTCACTTTTCATCGGTGCGAACGTGTTAAGAGTCGCTGCAGCCTTTTCATAGAGGCTTGTAAATATGAATGGGCTTTTGTGTTTACAGAATCAGACTTTCTTACGATAAGCTGTCATTTCATTTGACTGAATTATAACTGTTTTCATACTTATGGGCTCAACTTACTTTTGAGAACTATACCCCGATTAAACTCATCTCCAATAATTGTATACCTCTATACCTTTTCCACTAGTTAGGTGCCGTACACGAACGGTTTTAACCAAAACTTTTTTGACCATTGGGAAAATTGAAACGCTTGATTTATATTCGTTGACAAGGCCTTAGCACTATATTATAAAATTTCCTCGATTATCTCTAGTTAAATCTTTTCTTGCTTCGTAATCATTTTTATTTCTCGCAAAAGGAAAGGAAGTATGGTCAAAGCAGCTACATGTTGTTGCACATTGCCTAATAAGGGGTGGTTTTTTAGACGTGTCGTTTTCAATGAGGCAATACTTTTTTCGGAGCTAGTCTTTTTGACGGCTGTTTCATGATTTATACTCTGGTTTGCCGTTTTCTGCAAATTTATCTTAATTGCCTAGCAGAGTCGGAAATTCGATGTCTATGTTTACTCGAGTGGATAATGAGCATCCTCAGACACGCCCTCCAGTGCACACCGAAGACGCTATTGCTGCTGTGGGGCAAAGTATTAAAGAAGAACCAAATGAGTCCATCCATCATCGCGCGCAGTAATTGCAGCTGTGCCCATCTATTTTATAGAAGATTTTGCGGAAAGATCTTGGTTTACGAGATTAGAAAATCCAACTCGTGTAAGAATTGAAGCCGAACGATTATCAAGTGCGTCGCTCGTTTGGTGGATGGGCCCAGAACCAAAAAACCAATCCCAATTTTCGCAAGAAAATTTTGTTCAGCGATGACATTCACTTTTGGTTGCAAGGTACGTTAATGAACAAAATTGTCGCATTTGGAGTGATGATACTCCACATGCCATTGTTGAGATGCCATTATATTCTCAAAAAGTCACTGTTTGGTGTGGTCTATAGGTAGAGGGAATCATTGGTCCATATTTATTCAAAAGCAAAGCCGGCCATAATGTTACAGTCAATAGGGAACACAATATGGCAATAGTAAGTTAATTTTTTGTGCCTGAATTGGATGATATTGATGTGGAGGACTTTTGGTTCCAACAAAATGATGCTCATCCCATACAGCCAACGAAACAATCAATTTATTGAAGGAAAATTTTGGTGAACGCATTATCTCGCGTGGTGGGCCTGTGGCATTGCCTCCATGATAATGTAATTTAACACCGCTGGACTATTCTTTGAGAGGTTATGTGAAGTGGCTTGTCTACGCAAATAAGACCGAGACCATCGATGCTTTGGAGGAGAATATTCGGCGCGTTATTGATGATATACGGCCCCAGTTGCTTCAAAAAATGATCGAAATTGGTACTTTCGGCTGTTATTTATTTGAACAAGTAGCGGTGGTCACTCGTCCGATATCATTTTTAAAATATAATAACAAACCCTTATCTTTATAATAATGCTTTATTTTTGGCCACAACTATATTTCTTTGTAAAAATCGCATGTCCAAAAAAACACCCTTTATTTATTTCATAATTACAGTTTTAATTTTTTAAGCCGATACTAAGCTTTGGTTGTGTCCGAACTGGACTTCTTCTCGAAACATTATTACATCATAAAATTATATTTCTAGCTTTACCCCACTTATAGTGCATCACGTTAATAGGGAACACTGACATGAGTGTGTTTGTATGTGTTTGCCACGCGAGGTCATTGATGATAAAAGAGCTCGCTATGGCGCTTACTTCTTGATTTCTAATAGGGTAACAATTTGTATGGCTGCTCCACTGGCCTTCTACGGCTGGCTTACATTGCCAGGCCGACATCTTGCCACCTCCACAACCGCTCCCTTCGACTTTGCTAACGCACGATATGAATACGAATGACGGGTGTTACGATTGCGATTACGCAGACAGAAAATGCACAAGCGAACCTAGAAAATTGCACATGGATATGCGTGTGGACGAGGGCAGTTTGATAATTCAGGGGCGTTTAGAGTGATTAAATCAATTGCATTTATTTGCTCTTAAATATAATTATTAGTTTCTAAGTTTTGTTTCGATATTTATTTTCAAAATCAAAAATATCTTTCCTAGTAAAATATGGAAAAATTAATATATACTTCAATTCTAATTTTTTCGATTTACTATTCACGTTGAAAACTAAAACTATAAAATTTCTAACCTTTTTTATGCTTGCAACATGTTACAGAGTGTAATAGTTTTGTTGGCTTAACGGTTGTTTGT